AAAATTGTAAGAGAAACACACTCAACAAAGAGAAAGTCACGGTCAAACGTATTTACAAAAATAAAAATAAAAATCAAACATGAATTGAATGGGCAGCTGCTGGTAGTTACAAACCTTGGGTGATGCGCGATACTAATTGTTCCCGTTGCCAAAAAAATTGAATCACACGAACTAATATTTTGAAGAGAAATCGAAGCACAATAAGAAGCTATATATAGTAATAAGAATAAATCATATAAAATAATAATAATAATACTAATTAGAAATCAATTAATATAGTTATTAGTGGCTAATGAATATGACCTTCTATAATCTTGCACATTCTTGGCCGTTTTTTGTATACATATAAATAATAATTAACAATTATGGTTTTAAAGGCATATTAAATTTAATATTCATTATGTTGTTACAAAATATTTCTATACATATATCCAACATACAAATATGTTCATATATATAGATATACATAGACATACATATATACACAAATACACACATATATATACACACACACAAATACATATATGTATACATATATACATTTATATTTACATGTATATTTATACATATATATACATATATACATCTAAATAATCATGTATACATATATACACATACAAATAGATTCATACACACAGACATATATATATACTATCCAATAAATGGTTGGGCTCTCAATCTTCAACCGACTCTTTCGCCAGATATGGAGATGCCGTTTCCTTATAATGGGTTATTTATTTGCTGAGTAAAATAAATATAGTCTTTAGTGTGCCAATCAATACGACTTTTCATTTGTTGACGTTTTTTGCTTTATTCATTGTTTTAATTTTTTCACACACTAACTATCGGTTACATAATATAATAAATTACAATTATGTTTTGAAGATGGGTAATTTTTTATAGGAATACCAAGAAATTAGAATTTATTCAAGAGATTAGAGATTAACATTAAGACATTATTTCAAGGAGTTTTGAAGCATGTTTTAACGTTACGTGGTAACCTCCACTACTAAATCCACTCCTTTTAGTAGTTATGTCGTGATTTATTATAAATATTATTGTAAATAACGTAAATTTACAACCACTATGCCGTGTTTTGTTTAGACTATGATTGCAATAGTGATTTATATTGATAATGAAAACACTATTTTTAATTTTAACAGGATATTTCAACATATTAGCATTTTAATATATAAAACTAATGTTATGGTAAAGTTGGGTTTTATAAATTAAAGATGAAATTGTTTTTTTTTTTAAAACTAAAATAATGTGTTGATATTTTTGTCGCCTATATAATTTTAAATTTTTTTTACTGTACATGTATATATTTTAGTATAAATCTAAGCAAATCTATATATATAAATTAATAGGAATATAATAGAGCAATGGGAAAAAAATAAAAAATGCCACATGGATGATGAGTTGGATGGATGATGAGTTGGATGCTGATGTGTCCTCACCATATTCCTTTAAACCCAACTTTTAATATATATAGATTTTGTAGAGAACCAATTTTTTCAAAGAACTGAATTAAAAAAAATCTAAAAAATTGAAAATTTATTTTTAAAAAATAAACTACAGCCAAATATGATATAATATAAAAAATACTGAACTAAATAATTACCCGAATACCGAAACATCATCTGGTTGCCGAAATATCTCAAAGTAACTTCATCTAATATTTGTCAAGAATAGAAAAGGGCAAGGTGCAAGCAACACCTCATCTATTTTATATGGGTCTTGGTAATAAAAAAATACCAACTGTTTTTAACGATTCTCGAAGGTTACCTTTCGCGTGGTATGGACGTCTTTGCTCCGATATCATCTCAAATTCAACATGAACCGTATTTATGTATTCAATTCAATACAGTTCCATGCAAAATGCATCTGGTGGGTCCGTACAGCGAAACAAAAAGGCAGAGACAGAGAAGCTCAAGGGAGATAAGATAACAAAGAGACTCCGTATCTGCTGATCTTCACGGCGAAAATGGCGACAAAGAGATTTTGCCGGCGATTGTGGTCGGAGAATAACCACCGGGGAAACAGAGAGACATGAGGTCTTTTTTTTTGTAAAAAAAAAAGTGGAGATGAGGGGTATCGATTCCCGTACCTCTCGATTCTTTTTCTTCGAAAGATGCCGAATTTTGAGCTCGTCACTATGAACACAAATGAAAAAAGCTTTCTCCTTGCTGGTATGGTAAAACTAGAAGTGCAGGTAACGAATCTGCTTCCTCTTGATCGCTGCATATTCTTGAAATCGCGAAACTTTGATGTGATTACTGTTATCATTCTCGAACCCTAATCCCAGAACAGTAATCAGGTGTACGGAATCTCCGAGTGGATCTTCGTCTTAGTTTCGATAATCACCGACCAATTGTTTCGATGGGTTGCGCAGGCTCAGCTCGGACCGAGGGGAGCAATCGGCAACGCACATGAAGTGTTCGGTGAAATGTCTCACCGAAAGTTTCATCATTTCCCTTTGAGATCTATCACTCGGTAGTTTTTTCCCCCTGTCTTCTGCTCCCTCTCTTGTATGATCTTTATGAGTTCATGGATTTATGGGCATTTCATTTTACATGGAGAAAGCATATCACCATTGTCAGGTCTTGGTATTTCATGCACCGTTCAATCTGCTGTGATTAGCAAAGATGGTGTTTCAGCTGGGCCATTGGACTCCTCTGGATTTCCAACTCTTCAGTAACATATCTTATTATTTGATGTTTCCTTATTAGTGTAGTGTTTTGTTGATTGAGCTTCGACTGATTTGATTGTGCTTTTTTTTTCTTCTGAAAGGTGAATTATATATATAATAAATATCAAAGATGTTTTTTTTTTTTTTTGCATTAACAAAGGATATGCCTAATTTATGAAGACTTCTTCTGAGTTCCGCTTATCCATGAAATGCTGAGCTTTTTCAGCCGACTGACGATGATGGTGGTTTTCCCGGCCCTTTACCATGCCGTGAATTGCTGCGTCCGGTTTTGATCTTGGTTTCTTCAATGCGTTGTTTCGGAGTCTCTTCTCCCATTTCTTCCGCAAAAAACAAGCCATACATAAGTTTTTTTTTTATAATCAGGATGGTTCTCCGATCTTTCAGTCTGACTAGATCCACCCTAGATCCGGTATCAATCTTTGTATATGAACCATTTTGGACCAGACATTACATCTATCCCCACCAAATGGAGTCGAACACCCGACTCAGCACCATTCGACCATCCCATGGTGGGTCCCACACAGAACAACGTCTTAATCCGAAGTTTATATCAGTTCTTTTTCTTCACTTATTTTAGTTTTGGATTAAATCTTCTAAAATTCGTAAACACTTCAAATCATTAATAATCATTCGTTTAGAAGTGATCATAGCTCTACCTCTAGATAAATTTATAATGTTGAGAAGAAAAAAAAGAAGATTTGGGCACGGGGGAGATCGTGAAGAACATGAAGAAACTTACTTGTCATAGGATGTTCATATTCATGGAGCCGGCGGGCAAAGGATGTTCTTGATGCAAGGAACGTGAGGAGAATCAAAGTGATCACCCTCACAACCTGCCAATGCATTGTATTTTTCTTGGCTTTTTATTTATTTATTATATTTCACTGGTAATATGAATGGAAGAATTCAGAGAGTGTTGAAGAAAAAGCGTTGCATTTTTTGAATGCATGTTTATGTATCTTTATATAGAGGATGGGTTTTGGTTACGGCTTCAACCAACGCATTTCGCGGAAATATCTTTATTATTTGTTTTTTTTTTTATAATATCCGACATTATATATATTATAGTTATATTTGTTAACACGTGTTGATTCAAATAATTTATGGGATTTGAATAATTCGACGTAAAAGAAACCATACACTTCAATAAAAATAAAGTGAGGCAGCAAATCTGGAGAAGAGCCCACAGCCTAATTACACGACGTCGTATACGGAACATCCGGGCGATTGTAATATAAGGGGATTATAATTTAATTAATTGGAGAATTAAGTTATTAAACTATTATAATCCATACGGATACTCTTGCCGCGTCGATCGATGAAAAGTAGAGTTTAGTCTCAAAAGAAAAATGAAATTATAAAAACAATCTACCTATACTACATGTGCACTTATAAATGTGTACACGCATACATACGAATAACATATTCTGACCACCAACTCTGGTTTTTTTTATAATCGGATGTTTTAGATCGAAAATCAGACGGATTCTAGGATCGAGAGTAATCTATATGATTAGAATTACGTTCCTTTTTTCAATTTAAAGTTCGAATTCAAAACGGAACAAACGCTTTGAGCTCCTATTTCACCGGCTAAATTAATCAAATTATATTACCAAAAAAAAATCTTTGTTTTTGGCCTGATTTTTACCCGTGGTCGTCTATTTATGGTTTAGTCACCGAATTGTTTTTTTATATTCAAAACCAAACTAATATAAGCTGAATTAGAATATGAAATTTTGGCATTCGGAAACTCTGATATCCGATTTAGAAGTCTATTTTTTTTACGTAATTTTTTTTTGTTATTGAAAATAAAGGCAAATGACATAAATCCTAGTAGTAGCATTTTAATGAAAATGATAAAACATTTTCGTAATAAATCCAGATAACAAGACATCACTTATTCCAATCTCAATTCTTCCGGGTTATTCTTATAACTTATAAACCACTCAAATAATTTTTTTTTTGTTTTGTTTTTTTTTTGTCAACCGGGAGATTCACCTGAACCTTCGACCCAATCTACGTATTCAGAGGGCAGAACCTTTAGAAGACATTTAATTGCGTCCCCCTCCCGCATGCTGGTTTGAACCCTTGACCCGGAGGAAACACATCCTCATAACTAACCCAAGTTACCACTCGACCAAAACATGTGGGTAATCTTTTTTGTTTTGTGGGTAGAAAATGTAGATTGCAATAGAGGAAATAAAAAAGGGAAGAGAGATTACAAATACAATGAAGAAAACATAAGGACCTTCAAAGATGATTGGTTATTGTATCTGATTCCGTAATATCTCAAGAAACTTCATCTTTTTTATAAGGCCCTTGATAAATAAATAAATAAGAACATTCCAACTGTTTTTAAGACTCTCGAACTCTTCTTTTTATATACCTACCTTTACTTTATTAGAATATTTTTTTTTTGAGTTTATGCATCTCGAGGGATTATGCTTATTATTGGATATTAACAAGGAGTGCGGGAAAAACTTATCAGAATCTTTATGAACCCTTCTTCAAGTTCCGCTTCTCCATGAAATGCTGATCTCTTTCACCCTCCACGACCACCAGGCGCATGCCGTGAAGTGCTGCTCGGTACCTTGATCTTGGTACCTCCAATATATTGTTTCTGAATAATCTCTTCTCCTATTCCTTCAGCCAACAAAAAAAAAAAAAAGGTCATATGAAAGATTTTAACGCCGTGAAGAACGAGAAACTTACTTGTTATGGGAGGATGTTCATGGAGCCTGGCAAAGGATGTTCTTGATGCGAAGAACGCGAGGAGAATCAAAGTGATCACCCTCGCAACCTGCTGCCAATGCATTTTCGTTGTTGTTTTTAAAAAAAAATTGGGATTCCAAAGAATGTGGATGCATAGAGATATATATATAGAATATCATTTACTTGACTTTTACTCTATGCCGCCTTGTGGAAAAGTCCAGGTTCGTGAATGTTTAGAAGTCCAAAATGCCGTAACGTTATTTTTCACTGACAATTCTAAAGAAGCTGCATCCGATATTCGTCAAGAATGGAACAGGGTAACCACAAGGACGCACTTTTTTGCGAATACTTTTATGGGCAATCACAGTCAAACCAGGGCCATGATCTAAGTGTAATCTTTACATAAATATTGATATGGAATGATCTAAGTGAATGCAATGCATATTACAAACAACAGATGCCTTAGGAAGAATAGTTAGTGCTAGGATTAGGGTTCGTATCATCGGGGGTTCAGATTCGGGGGCAATGGGTATACCCAATTATATTTCTCACTTTCAAGACAAACCATTCCGTGGTTAATATAACTATAGATAAAACCCGACACACAGAAATAAGGAAATAACAGCACCGTAAGCCAAATATGGAAACATTACGAAGTGGACGAGGCAGATGGAGGGAGAGCGGACAGCCAGCCAATATATTGGAACTTGGAAGGATCATTAATTAGGCCGGAAAAAAAAAACCAGAAATTCGGATTTAGTTAATTAAATATAAAATGGATAAATTCTCAGCAGTTTTCCGAGAAGTTATAAATTCATAATTTTATCTCTAAATTTTAATTATATTATATAAAAATCTAAAACTAAACCTTTTTTTTATTATAACTTTCTATGACTTTTTTTTATATATTTATATTTGTTTTTATCTATTATAGTAAAATTTTATGTTTATAAATATATATATATATATATATATAATATTATATTTTTGTTAAAATTTGTTTTAAAAATTCAGATTCGAATATATGCTATTATCCGAAAATTATCTGGACATCTAATTTTTGAGTACTCGAACAAAACGGGTTCGAGTTCGGGTAATATATTATGAAAAATCTGGGTTCGCATTCGAGTAACTAACCTTAAAATTTCAGTTACGGGTTAGATTTGGATCGACGTGATCCGAATTCAGAACCATGAGAAAGATACAACTTCTTACCAGGAAAACTAAGAGCAAGACCTGTGGAGCACCAATATTAATGGCTGCAAACAAAAAACACTTGACTCGTTAAATCTCCAACATGCAAAGCATAAATCTCCAATGTTAAGGGTTCTTTCTACTCATTAAAAATTCACACAGATTTTGCTACATCAACATAAACCTAGACAACAAGCAATCGAGTATGACAAAAAATGATGAACAATCAATCCCCTTTGGCAAGCATAAATCTCCAACTTGCAAAGCCCCGAAAACTGAAACGCTTACGAAGCCAACTCAGAAATCACAAGAACAATCAAATAAATACACGAGAAAAGCTCAATGCTGGAAATGGAAATACACAATTTCTCACTTTTGACACAACCATTCCGCGAGGTTAATATAACTACAGATAAAACTCGATACACACACACACACATAAAGATGTGGAGAAGGAAATAACATCACCGTAGCCAAAGATGGAGCCATTACAGTTCCAGACAGAGGGACAACGGATAGGCACTGCCTTGGAAGAATCATTAATGTTAGGATGAGCTCTTTAAACCGGGAAACTAAGAGCAAGACCTGTGCAGAACCCAGCAACATCAACAGTATTGGCTGCAAAACAAAGATCACTTTTATGCAGACACATTATGCATAAATCGTAAAGGGAGATGTCAGCTCGCAAAGTTTTAGAGCCTCACCATCATCTTTTCCTGACAGAGGAATCATAATGATTCGGTAGCCATTGACAAAAGGAATAATATGCAACAACGGGGCAGTTTGAAAATGATCATAATCACCCAATATACATACTATGGATTTACCTTTGCAGACTACCCTGCAACTACAGATGATCCTTTGAAACATTTCTTCTTGAACAATCCAGAAACTAATCCCAAAACAAGGAGATGTTGTTTAGCAGTTTGGTCATCTCAACCAGCAAAAGAGGCAAAACCCTTATCACTGGGTTTCAACATTGGCCAAAAAAATCACAAACGGAACAACACAACGGGTACTTAAAAAAACTGGTTAAAACATCAATCGGGATAGAAAACTGGCAACTTGGTTTCAAAAGATTCCCAGAAGAAGCATGAGAAAAAACGTGGCAGTTCTTACCGTTTGGCAATCCCAACCAACAGAATTTAGAGGCAGAACCCGTCACAGGTACTTCAACACCGGCCAACATAATCACACATGAATAAAACAATAGATTCTTCAGCCCATTAAACTAATGCAAAAGCTGCTAAATAAAGTCTGAGATAGAAAGCTAAACAAAACGAACAAACGTTAAGGGCTGCACAACTTTTGGTACAGCTACATAAACCTTGACAACCATTGCAATCAAGTATGAGTAGAGATAAAACAATCCCCTTTAGCAAACAAAAATCTCCAATCGGAAAACTCCGAAACCAAAAACGCTTACTACACAACCTCAAAAATCACAAGAATAATGAAATAAATACAAGAGAAAAGATCAATACCGGAAATAGATATGCCCAATTTCTCACTTACAACACAACCATTCACATCTACGTCGATGTGATCCGAATTCAGAAGCATGACAAATATAGTACTTTGCAACATGGAAACTAAGAACAAGGCCGTTGCAGCACCCTGCAGCTCCAACATTAATGGCTGCACCCAAACAACACTTGTCTCAAAGTTAGAAACAGAAAACTTTTACACAGACACATTATGCATGCCACAAGAAAGGGAGAGGTCAGCTCGCGAAGTCATAATGATTCAGTTGTAGAACAACAAACGTCTAGTCTAACAAAAGGAATCATAATGATTTAGTTGCCATTTGCAAAAGGAATAATATGCAACGACAGGCAGTTTCAGAATGAACATACATAATCAGCAATATATGTATATTATGGATATACCTATGCGGACAATCCAGAACCTGATCCCCAAACAAGAGATGTTGTTTAGCTAGCAGTTTGGTTATCTTAACCAACAAAAGAGGCAAACCCTTATATCTGGGTTTCAACATTGGCCAAAAACAATCCCGTACGGAACAAAACAAAGGATACTACAAAAATACTGCTTATGCTTAAGAACATCAATCAAGATAGAAATCCGGTAACTTGGTTCCAGAAGTTTCGCTGAAGGAGCATAATAACAAACGTTGATGGTTCTTACCAGTGTGGCAATCTCAACCAAACAGAATTTAGAGGCAGAACCCATCATTGCTACTTTAACACCGACCAACATAATCACACAGAATAAAACAATGGATTCTCCATCCCATGAAAAACTAGTGCAAATGCTGCTTAATAATGTTTGTGACAGAAAGCTAAACAAAACGAACAAACGCTAAGGGTTCTTTCTTCTTAGTAAATATTCAGGCAGATTTTGTCACAACAACATAAACCTCGACAATCAAAGCAATCAAGTATGACCAAAAATGTAGAATCCCCTTTGGCAAGCATAAATCTCAAACTTGGAAAGCCTAGAAACCCAAAACGTATACTAAGCCAACTCAAAAATCACAAGAACAATCAAATAAAAACACAGAGAAAAGCTCAATGCCGGAAATAGGTATGCCCAATTTCTACTGTGAATATACTTCCAACGCAACAGTTCCGCCAGGTTAATATGACCACAGATAAAACTCAGCACACACATGTAAAAAGCGAGAGAAGGAAATATCAGCATCGCAGCCAAAGATGGAGCCCCCGACGGCATCGCCGGCGCCATCTCCGGCAAAGCGGACGAGGCAGACGGAGGGAGAGGGGATAGCCAATGCATTCAACAACCATTACTGTTAGGGTTAGGGTTTGTACCAGGGTCGAGATTTGCGTAGACGCCGATGCTGCCGTTGTTTGAAGAATCTTCGGCCTCCATAGCTGAAGATTTTGGCCTCTTCCAAATCTGAAGTACACGAGAGAGGAGAAACGACAGTATCCAGTCCCATTTTCTGGACCGGTAAAAGTTCTCAAAATTCAAGCCAATTGCATCACTGTTTCTTCCAATTCAAGTCTTAAATAAGCAACTTCTCAAGTTCAAGAAATAATCTGTTGACTCTTAAATCAGAGTTTATCGAACTGAAACAAGAAAATCCAGAAAATTCTACGTTTACCTGGATATGGCCGCCCAGATTTGCTAGAATTTCAACCTGACCGTGAGATTTAAGGATCTGACTCACAGAGGAGGGGGATTTTGATGGCGATTGTGATGATCAGTGTTTGGATCTACCGGAGCTGCGTTTTCTTCGCCGGATCTGATTGCAGTAGCATCGTGACTCAGGGTTTGACTTTTGGCTTCGCAGAGACTGGGAAGAAAATTAGGGATCGAAGAGTTAGAAGTGAACGCATTCTCGCAGATCTTCGGTGGAGGTTTCATAGGTTTCACAGAGAGAGAGAGAGAGAGAGAGAGAGATGAACGTTGTGGAGAGAGACGAGATGGAGCTCTTCTATTGTTGCCTATTTGACCGTTGGGAATTTGAAATTTGATTTAGAATTTCGTTTAAAGGAGAAGGAAACAAAAGATTGATGTGAGAAAGAGAGAGATTCTGATGTCGGAGTATCTATTTGACCGTTGGAAATTTGAAATTTTCTTTAGAATTAAAGAAACCAAAGCTGAACGGTTGGTAAGTTGCACTGATTGATTGGTCTGCTAGGTCTGTTTAGATAGGTGTAGATAAAACCAATGTTCAAAGCTGAACATCTCCAAGAGAATACGCTTCACAAACCGCAATATCATTAATAATCCTCAACAATAATGGATTGATAAACTCAGTGTCATCTTTTTAACTTATTATATAACTCAGTAGCATTAAAAATGACATCTTAAACGTGTCATCATTTTCACTTTCGGACGACTCTACAAACTTCATAAAAATTTCATCCTCAAAACCTTCTCGAACATGTGCTCGTCTTAGTGTTTTATTTTAAACTCAGATCTTCGCTGGAGGTTTTCATAGAGAGAGAGGGGAGAGAGAGAGATGAGCGTATCGTGGAGAGAGATGAGATGGAGTTCTTCTAATGATGGAGTGACTATTTGACCGTTGGGAATTTGAAATTTTGCTTTAGAATTAAAGGAAAGAAAAATGACATTTTCCTGTACGGATTTTGTAACATGTGATCCTACACAAATTTTTAATTTGACAAAAAACTATACCAAATTATCAAATGTGTCAAATTGAAACACGAACTACTCAATTTAACTGCAATTTGTTATACAATCCGAAAACAGTGTTAAATGTCCATTAACCGATGACATGGCATGCCACGTGGCATCTGACATGGCACGACACATGAAAAATTTTGTCATGTCAGCAGACCACGTTAGAATTTAAAAAAAAAACAAAAAATCTGAAAAAAATTGCAAAAACATAAAAATAAAAAGCAAAAAAATACACATATATATACATATATATTCATATCTATATACAAATACAAATATAAATATATATACTCCTATATATGTATATATACTTGTATATTTTTTATTTTGTATATATATATACATATGGGTATTTATGTTTATATTTGTATTTATATGTGGATATATATATATACATATTTTATTTTATATGTATGTATGTACGTATATATATATGCATGCATATATTTATACATACATATGTGTATATGTATTTATATATATATGTTTGTGTATATATATAAATATACTTGTATATATATACATATATATTTGTATAAATGCATGTATATATATGTATATTTTTTATTTGATATATATAGACATATATATACATAGGAGTATTTATGTTTATATTTGTATTTGTATGTGGATATGAATATATATGTATATATATATATTTTTTATTTTGTATGTATGTATATGTATTTATATATGTGTATGTGTGTATATATAAATGTATTTGTTTGTATGTATATGTATATATATTTGTATAGATGTTTGTATATATATGTGTATATTTTTTATTTTGTATATATATAGATATATTTTTATATAGGAGTATATATATTTATATTTGTATTTGTATATAGATATGAATACATATGTATATATAGGTATTTTTTTGCTATTTATTTATTTTAATTTTAATCTTTTTTTATTTTTTCAGATTTTTTTCGGATTTTTTTTAAATCTGACGTGATATATTAATGTGGCAAAAATCCATATAGCGTGACACTCAGCTGCCACGTGGCGTGTCATGTCAGCTGCCACGTGGCGTGTCACGTCAGCTGCCACGTGGCGTGGCACGTCAGTGTTTAACGGACACTTAACACCGTTTTCGGATTGTGTAGGAATTTACAGTTAAATTGGTTAATTCGTATATCAATTTAGCATAATTTAGCATATTTGATAATTTAGTATAATTTTTTGTCAAATTAAAAATTTTTATAGGAAAAAGCCACATCTTACCAAGTTTGGTAGGAAAATGTCATTTTCAACGGATTGAGAATCCTCCCGTGATCTGACGGCTCGGGTTGATTGGGAAATGGGCTTAAATGGGCCTTTGTTGATTAATATTAAATGGGCTATGTCGAATGAGAGTCCAACTTAATCCGTTAGGCCTATCCAACGAATAAATGTTTCATCCATGGGTGAAAAGAAATATTCAAATGAAAAAATGAATAAAAATTAGTGATAATAACGTATAAATATCTAAACTTTTATAAAAATCCCATATAAATACTTAGACTATAAAATTTTTATATAAATACTTAAATTTTTAAAAATTCTATATAAATACTTAGACTTTTGAAAAAAAATTTAAACAAATAAATTTCAGATTTTTTTCAAATAAAAATAAGTAATATCATTAACGAATTTTGGGTTTATTTGGGAGTTTTTCAAAATTCTAGGTATTTATATAGGATTTTAGAAAAATTCATGTATTTATATGAAAATTTTATAGTTTAGATATTTCTGAAATTTTTGTAAAAGTTTAGGTATTTATATGTGATTTTTCCTAAAAATTATTGATAGATATACTTTGAATATTTATTGATCACAAAGTAATAAAACGTATTTTGGATATTAAGATCAACATGCAAATGTTTGGAATTTGTAATTAATTACAGTGCACAGATGCGGATGGAATTGAAATCATCCATAACAAGAATATAGACCAATAATAAACATAAAGCTGATTGAGAGGGACACTCAGAATGATGCTTCAAAACTGATTGAAGTATTGGAAAAAAAATTATATGTCGTATATCATGAAAATAGACCAACAATCTAGGAAAATAAGAAAAAGAATAGACAATAACAGTTTTTATTTATATAAACTCTGAGATTAAAGAAAAATTACCAAATTAAACATCTTGTAATGAGAGGGACATGCAACAAAACAGAATTCCTCTTTGTTTAGAACAAGGGAAAAAAACTGATAGCTTTCATGAATTCCGGGGCTGAAAAAGCGAAAATCATGCACATAGCCCAGCACAAAACAATCAGCTTTAACACTCCATCCATACACGTTGGTGCACGAACCGTATTCATGTATCAGTAGCGACTCAAAGTCCCGATCCATACCATACATACTAAATCACTAGAGTGCTAAAATACTGTCCGGATATCTCGAATGTAATCATGCACTACGCCACAATCATAGAGAACTCCTAACCGTACGCCGTGTCCATACCACATAAAATACACGCGGTACTATATTCATACAAATAAAAAACGATCGTGAAATATTTTTCTAACTTTCCGTCACCACAAACACACGTACATGAAAACTCGGACTCTTCCGAATCAACCCGAAACTCCATGCGTAATACTACCCTCGTAATTAATATTCTTTCATTATTTGTACGAACACATCGATCAAACAAGATAATCCTTATTCATATCATACCATCCACACCCAATTGAAAGACCTCAATACCCATTCTTGTATCTAGAAGTGAAAGCTACACAATCTTTTCTTTTCTACTCGGACATATTTATTTTACTAAATTTATTTCTTCTGGTTATATTTATTAATGGACCTTATTTCTCGCTTTACTTACAACCCAAGTTAGCATACCAATATACAATTGCCACACATTCACATACCATTTTGGATAATCCCTAAACTATGCATATTCATCTTACCATGTACCAAATTATAACTCTTTTTTTTTTATATATAATCCGTAATTCTCAATTTACTCCACTGTTATCATAATAACAATTCATCTACTTCAACATTCTACATATAATTTAGGATTTAACCCCAACTAAAAATATTCCAGGCTTCCACCAACTCATTCAAAATCCCTAATATACCTACAATACTTTGCTTAAACTACAAGTAAGAAACATTTTACCAAAAACCTTACAACCCAAGCATCCCGGCCAAGACATCATCACTACGCAATCCTTCTACAATTTTCTCAATTGCTTCACATTAATAAAACACATTTTAATACCAAAATATATAAAACATCACACCCCCATCCTAAATAGGTCTCGGTCAAGGATTATCATCATTCAATCATCACTTAAACATACAAAACCCCACACACTATCACAAAACATTCTCAATCAAAATTAACACACAAAATATCACATTTAGGCATACATTTCTCTTGGCCAGCACCGAAATCATCCTAGAAGTATCAACGTCGCAAACAGCCATAAATCTATTAAAACCCACAAACAGACTTAAAATACCATTTAAAGCTTAGCAACAAACCGGATCACTCACATTAGAGTTTCATCTAAAAACACGAAATAATCAGCGTAAAAGCGGGATTTTCGATCAATTCCCGTATTTTCGGGAACGGGTTATTATAACATTCGTTAGGTCTGCCGAGTATTTCATGCCCTATGATTAGCCAGAGAGTTTTATGGGCAACCAGAGTCAAACCAGTGCAAGAAAACAACAAAAAACCCTGGACTAACCTTTACATAAATATTGATATGAAATGATCTAAGTGAATACAATGCATTACAGATTACACATATGTATACGTTAGCTCAGCCAAGTATTCCGCGCCCTATGATTAGCCACTGAGTTGTGTGATCCAGCCTATGAATGCAAATCATTCCAGATATCGTCTAGAATACATTAACCTAGCTTTGTCTTCCCTCTCCTATGATTAGCTACTGAGTTATATAATGCATCCTAATTAGTTTTTGCTACTAGTTTTATGGGTAACCAGAGTGAAACAAGTGCCAGGAAACAGAGGAAGTAAACCAAAAAAAAATCTGGAGTAACCTTTCCATAACAATTGACATGATCTTATCTAAGTGAATGCACTACAGATAACATCGATGTATATGTTAGCTCAGCCATGTATTCCCTGCCCTATGATTAGCCACTGAGTTGTGTGCACTTTTTCCTACTAGTTTTATGGGCAATCATAGTCAACCAGTGCCAGGAAACAGCAAAAAAATCTGGATAATCTTTCCATAAAGATTGATATGAAATGATCTAAGTAAATGCAATGCATTACAGAAAACATCTATATATAACTTAGTTCAGCCATATATTCCCCACCATATGATTAGCCACTGAGTTGTACAACGCAGACTAAGTAGTTTTAAGGGCAATCAGAGTCAAACAAGCGTCAGGAAGCAGACAAAGGAAACAACAAAAAACAATGTACAATTAGTTTTAGCTACCGAGTTGCACAATGCAGATTAAGCAGTTTTTTTTCCTACTAGTTTTGTGGGCGACCAGAGTCAAACCAGTGTCAGGAAACAGAGTAAGGAAGCAAAAAAAAAATCTCTGGTGTGACCTTTCTATATAGATTGAAATGAAATGATATAAGTGAACGCAATGCATCACAGATACCATCTATGTATATTTCTGAATTCGAGTGAATGTGAATGTCTATTCATACTTGTGTGGCATTTTGAATTCTCAAAGCAAGAGAAAGATAAGACTTCTTACCAGGGAAACTAAGAGCAAGACCAGTGCAGCACCTTGCACCTCCAACATTAATGGCTGCAAACAAAGAAAACTTGACTCAAAGTTAGAAACGGAAATATTTTATGCATAACACAAAAAGAGAGAGGTCAGCTTGCAAAGTTTTAGAACCTCACAGACATCTTTTTCCCACAGTTTCTTCAGAAGGCAAACAACTAAACCGTGTTCTATGGATAGAACAGCACATATCTAACAAAAGGAATCGTAATCATTCAGTTTCAGTTGCAAAAGGAATAATATGCAACAACTGGGCAACTACAAATGACCCTATGAAGCCTTTCTTCTTGAACAATCCAGAACCTGGCTAAACCCAAAACAATCACGTACAGAACAAAACAACAGGTACTAGAGAAATACAGCTTAAGAACTCCATCAAGATTACTGGCATCTTGGTTTCAGAAGTTTTCCTGAAGGAGCATAAGAAAAACGTGACGGTTCTTACCAACGGATACTAAAGATTCATGTGAAATGATCTAAGTGAACACAATGCATTACAGATAACGTCTATGCATAAGTTAGTTTCAGCAATGTATTCCCCACCGCATGAATAGCCTCTGAGTTGTGCAATGCACCCTAAGCACTTTCTGCAACAAGTTTTAAGGGCAATCGGAGTCAAACCAGTGTCAGGAAACCGAGGCAGGAAACAACAAAAAACACTGCATAACATTTCCATAAAGATTGAGATTAAATGATCTAGGTGAATGAAATGCATTACAGATAACATACCTGAAAGCAGTTTTAACTACTAGTTTTCTGGGCAATTAGAGTCAAACAAGTGTCAGGAAACAACAAAAAACACTGGATAACATTTCCATAAAGATTGATATGAATGATCTAAGTGAATGAAATGCATTACAGATAACATCTACGTATGGATTAATTTAGCTCAGCCATGTATTTCTTCCCTATCACAGAGTTGTACAATGCAGGCTAAGTAGTTTTTGCTACTACTTTAATGGGGAATAAGAGTCAAACCAGTGCTTGGAAACAAATGAAGGAAACTGCACAAAAAAGAAAACTCTACAGTAACCTTTCCATAAAAATTGATATGAAATGACCTAAATGAATGCAATGCACTAGAGATAACATCTATGTATACGTTGGCTTAGCTATATATTACCGACCCCATTGTTATCCACTGAGTTGCTAAATGCAGTCTAAGCAGTTTTTTTTTTTCTACTAGTTTTATGGACAACCAGAGTCAAACCAGTGTCAGGAAACAGAGGAAGGAAGCAGCAAAGATCTCTGGAGAAACCTTTCGATACAGATTGATATGAAATGACATATCTGAACGCAATGCATCACAGACACCATCTTTGTATATTTCTGAATTCGAGTGAATGTGAATGTCTATTCATATACTTGTATGGCATTCCGAATTCTGAAAACATGAGAAAGATACGACATCTTACCAGGGAAACTAAGAGCAAGGCCAGGGAAGCACCTTGCAACTCCAACATTAATGGCTGCAAAAAAAAACACCAGACTCGAAGATAGAAACAGAAATATTTTATGCATAACACAAAAAGAGAGATCAACTAGCAAAGTTTTAGAACCGCACAATCATCTTTTTCCTGCAGTAGGCAAACAGCTAAACCGTGTTCGACGGATAGAACAGCACATGTATAACAAAAGGAATCGTAATCATTCAGTTGCAGTTCACAAAAGGTTAAAATACAACAACTAGGCAGTTTCAGAATGATCGTTCTAAATCAGCCAATATATATACTAATGGATATACCTTCGCAGACTGCCCTGCATCCACAAATGAAGGAAACTGCACAAAAAAACTCTACAGTAACCTTTCCATAAAAATTGATATGAAATGACCTAAGTGAATGCAATGCATTAGAGATAACATCTATGCATACATTGGCTTAGCTATATATTCCCGACCCCATTATTATCCACTGAGTTGATAAATGCAGCCTAAGCAGTTTTTTTTCCTACTAGTTTTGTGGACAACCAGAGTCAAACAAGTGTCAGGAAAGAGAGGAAGGAAGCAACAAAAATCTATGGAGTAACCTTTCGATGCAGATTGATATGAAATACCAGTGCAGCACGTTACGACTCCAACAGTAATGGCGGCAAACAACTGAAAGTTAGTTAGAAACAGAAAAAATTTATGCAAAACACAAACAGAGAGAGATCATCTCGCAAAGTTTAAGAACACAAATAGTTCTTTGTGACATGGACACTAAGAGCAAGGTCGTTGCAGCTCCCTGCAACTCCAACATTAACGACTGCAAACAAAGAACACTTGACTCGAAGTTAGAAACAGAAAACTTTTATGCATACAAATTATGCACAACACAAAAAGGGACAGGTCACCCCGCAAAGTAAATAACAAAAAACTCTGAAGTAAACTTTCCATAACGATTGATATGAACTGACCTAAGTGAAAAATGCACTACAGATAACATCTATGTATATGATAGCTCGGCCATGCGTTTCGTCCCTATGATTAGCCACTGAGGTTCGTAATCCTGCCTAAGACATTTTGCTACTAGTTTTATGGGCAATCGTAGTCAAACTAGCGCAAGGAAAAAGCAAAAAACCAGTGCAAGGAAACGTCAACATGTTCCGAATTCTGAAACATGAGAGTGACCTGCAACACCAATATTACTGGCTGCAAATAAAGAACACTTGACTCGAAGTTAGAAACAGAAAATTTTTTATGCAGACTCATTATGAATAACACAAAAAGGGAGAGGTCAGCTCGCAAAGTTTCAAAGCCTTACCAACATCTTTTCCCCGCAGTCCATTCAAAAGGTTAACAACTAAACTGTGTACTCTGGATAGAGCAACAAACACAAAACAAAAGGAATCATAATGACTCAGTTGCCACCAACGAATAGAATAATATGAACCGACAGGGCAGTTTCAGAATGAGCATATTTAATCAGCCAAAATAGGATATACCTTTGCAGTCTGCCCTGCATCTATAAATGACCCTTCACACCCTTTCTTCTTGAACAATCCAGATTGTGAAACCAAAACAAGGAGATGTTGTAAGCAGATTAGTTTTTGTAATCTTTCCATAAAGATTGATATGAAATGATCTAAGTGAAAGCAATGCATTACAGATAATATCTAAGTATAAGTTAGTTTCAGTTATGCATTCCCCACCACATGATTAGCCTCTGAGTTGTGCAATACACCCTACGCACTTTTTGCTACAAGTTTAAAGGGTAATCAGAGTCAAACCAGTGTCAGAAAACAACAAAAAGCACTGGATAACATAACCATACAGAATGAGAATGATATTAAATGATCTAAGTAAATGAAATGCATTACAGACAGCATACCTGAAAGCAGTTTTTGCTACTAGTTTTCTGGGCAATAAGAGTCCAACAAGTGCCAGGAAACAACAAAAAACACTGGATAACATTTCCATAAAGATTGATATGAAATTATCTAAGTGAATGAAATGCATTATAGATAACATCTATGTATCTATTAGCTCAGCAATGTATTTCTTTCCTATGATTAGCCACAGAGTTGTACAATGCAGCCTAAGTAGTTTTTGCTGCTACTTAATGGGGAATAAGAAAACAAATAAAGGAAACTGCAATAAAAAAAACAAAAAAAAAAACTCTGCAGTAACCTTTCCATAAAAATTGATATGAAATGAACTAAGTCAATGCAATGCATTAGAGATAACAACTTCATATACGTTAGGTTAGCAATGTATTCCCAACCCTATTATTATCCATTCAGTTGCAAAATGCAGCCTAAGCAGTTTTTTTTCCACAAGTTTTGTCGACAACCAGAGTCAAACCAGTGTCAGGAAACAGAGGAAGAAGCAGAAAAAATCCTTGGTGTAACCTTTCTGTACAGATTGATATGAAATGATATAAGTAAATGCAATGCATCACAGATACAATCTATGTATATTCTGAATTCGAGTGAATGTGAATGTCTCTATTCATACTTGTGTGGCATTCTGAATTCTGAAAGCATGATAAAGATACGACATCTTACCAGGAAACTAAGAGCAAGACCACAGCTGCACCTTGCAACTCCAACATTAATGGCTGCAAACAAAAAACACTAGGCTCGAAGTTAGAAACAGAAACATTTTATGCATAACACTAAAAGAGACAGGTCAGGTGATCTCGCAAAGTTTTAGAACACAAATAGTTCTTTGTGACATGGACACTAAGAGCAAGGTCGTTGCAGCTCCCTACAACTCCAACATTAATGGCTGCAATGCAAACAAAGAACACTCGACTCGAAGTTAGAAGCAGAAAAATTTTACGCATACTAATTATGCACAACACTAAAAGGGAGAGGTTACCCTGCAAAGTAAACCAAAAACTCTGAAGTAACCTTTCCATAACGATTGATATGAACTGACCTAATTGAATAAATGCATTACAGATAACATCTATGTATATTTAGCTCGGCCATGCATTTTGCCCCTATGATTGGCCACTGAGTTGTGTAATCTTGCCTAAGCACTTTTTGCTACTAGTTTTAGGGGCAATCCTAGTGAAACTAGTGCAAGGAAACAGGAAAAAACCAATGCAAGGAAACGTCAACGTGATCCGAACTCAGAAACATGAGAAAGATACGACTTCTTACCGGGGAAACTAAGAGCAAGGCCTGTGCAGCACCCTGCAGCACCAGTACTAATGGTTGCAAATAAAGATCACCCACATCCTTTCCCCGCAGTTCATTCAAAAGGTAAACAACTAAATTGTGTACTCTGGATAGAACAACAAGCACTTAACAAAAGGAATCATAGTGATTCATTTACCATTAACAAGTGGAATAATATGAACCGACATGGCAGTTTCAGAATGAGCATATTTAATCAGCCAAAATAGGATATACCTTTTCAGTCTGCCCTGCATCTATTAATGACCCTTCGCACCTTTTCTTCTTGAACAATCCAGATTGTGAAATCAAAACAAGGAGATGTTGTAAGCAGTTTAGTTTTTGTAATCTTTCCGTAAAGATTGATATGAAACGATCTAAGTGAAAGCAATGTATTACAGATAACATCTAAGTATAAGTTAGTTTCAGTTATGCATTCCCCACCACATGATTAGCCTCTGAGTTGTGCAATGCACCCTACGCACTTTTTGCTACAAGTTTAAAGGGCAATCAGACAGTGTCAGGAAACAACAAAAAGCAATGGATAACATAACCATACAGAATGAGAATGATATTAAATGATCTTAGTAAATGAAATGCATTACAGACAGCATACCTGAAAGCAGTTTTTGCTGCTAGTTTTCTGGGCAATAAGAGTCCAACAAGTGCCAGGAAGCAACAAAAAACACTGGATAACAGTTCCATAAAGATTGATATGAAATTATCTAAGTGAATGAAATGCATTATAGATAACATCTATGTATCTATTAGCTCAGCAATGTATTTCTTCCCTATGATTAGCCACAGAGTTGTACAATGCAGCCTAAGTAGTTTTCGCTGCTACAGAATGGGGAATAAGAAAACAAATAAAGGAAACTGCAATAAAAAAAAAAACTCTGCAGTAACCTTTCCATAAAATTGATATGAAATGACCTAAGTGAATGCAATGCATTAGAGATATCATCTTCATATACGTTAGGTTAGCAATGTATTCCCAACCCTATTATTATCCATTGAGTTGCAAAATGCAGCCTAAGCAGTTTTTTTTCCACAAGTTTTGTCGACAACCAGAGTCAAACCAGTGTCAGGAAACAGAGGAAGAAGCAGAAAAAATCCTTGGTGTAACCTTTCTGTACAGATTGATATGAAATGATATAAGTAAATGCAATGCATCACAGATACAATCTATGTATATTCTGAATTCGAGTGAATGTGAATGCCTCTATTCATACTTGTGTGGCATTCTGAATTCTGAAAGCATGATAAAGATACGACATCTTACCAGGGAAACTAAGAGCAAGACCACAGCTGCACCTTGCAACTCCAACATTCATGGCTGCAAACAAAAAACACTAGGCTCGAAGTTAGAAACAGAAACATTTTATGCATAACACTAAAAGAGACAGGTCAGGTGATCTCGCAAAGTTTTAGAACACAAATAGTTCTTTGTGACATGGACACTAAGAGCAAGGTCGTTGCAGCTCCCTACAACTCCAACATTAATGGCTGCAATGCAAACAAAGAACACTCGACTCGATGTTAGAAACAGAAAACTTTTACGCATACTAATTATGCACAACACTAAAAGGGAGAGGTTACCCTGCAAAGTAAACAACCAAAAACTCTGAAGTACCTTTCCATAACGATTGATATGAACTGACCTAAGTGAATAAATGCATTACAGATAACATCTATGTATATTTAGCTCGGCCAGGCATTTTGCCCCTATGATTGGCCACTGAGTTGTGTCATCTTGCCTAAGCACTTTTTGCTACTAGTTTTAGAGGAAATCATAGTGAAACTAGTGCAAGGAAACAGGAAAAAACCAATGCAAGGAAACGTCAACGTGATCCGAACTCAGAAACATGAGAAAGATACGGCTTCTTACCGGGGAAACTAAGAGCAAGGCCTGTGCAGCACCCTGCAGCACCAGTACTAATGGTTGCAAACAAAGATCACCCACATCCTTTCCCCGCAGTTCATTCAAAAGGTAAATAACTAAATTGTGCACTCTGGATAGAACAACAAGCACTTAACAAAAGGAATCATAGTGATTCATTTGCCATTAACAAATGGAATAATATGAACCGACATGGCAGTTTCAGAATGAGCATATTTAATCAGCCAAAATAGGATATACCTTTGCAGTCTGCCCTGCATCTATAAATGACCCTTCGCACCCTTTCTTCTTGAACAATCCAGATTGTGAAACCAAAAAAAGGAGATGTTGTAAGCAGTTTAGTTTTTGTAATCTTTCCATAAAGATTGATATGAAACGATCTAAGTGAAAGCAATGTATTACAGATAACATCTAAGTATAAGTTAGTTTCAGTTATGCATTCCCCACCACATGATTAGCCTCTGAGTTGTGCAATGCACCCTACGCACTTTTTGCTACAAGTTTAAAGGGCAATCAGACAGTGTCAGGAAACAACAAAAAGCACTGGATAACATAACCATACAGAATGAGAATGATATTAAATGATCTTAGTAAATGAAATGCATTACAGACAGCATACCTGGAAGCAGTTTTTGCTGCTAGTTTTCTGGGCAATAAGAGTCCAACAAATGCCAGGAAGCAACAAAAAACGATGGATAACATTTCCATAAAGATTGATATGACATTATCCAAGTGAATGAAATGCATTATAGATAACATCTATGTATCTATTAGCTCAGCAATGTATTTCTTCCCTATGATTAGCCACAGAGTTGTACAATGCAGCCTAAGTAGTTTTCGCTGCTACAGAATGGGGAATAAGAAAACAAATAAAGGAAACTGCAATAAATAAAAAAAACTCTGCAGTAACCTTTCCATAAAATTGATATGAAATGACCTAAGTGAATGCAATGCATTAGAGATAACATCTTCATATACGTTAGGTTAGCAATGTATTCCCAACCCTATTATTATCCATTGAGTTGCAAAATGCAGCCTAAGCAGTTTTTTTTCCACAAGTTTTGTCGACAACCAGAGTCAAACCAGTGTCAGGAAACAGAGGAAGAAGCAGAAAAAATCCTTGGTGTAACCTTTCTGTACAGATTGATATGAAATGATATAAGTAAATGCAATGCATCACAGATACAATCTATGTATATTCTGAATTCGAGTGAATGTGAATGCCTCTATTCATACTTGTGTGGCATTCTGAATTCTGAAAGCATGATAAAGATACGACATCTTACCAGGGAAACTAAGAGCAAGACCACAGCTGCACCTTGCAACTCCAACATTCATGGCTGCAAACAAAAAACACTAGGCTCGAAGTTAGAAACAGAAACATTTTATGCATAACACTAAAAGAGACAGGTCAGGTGATCTCGCAAAGTTTTAGAACACAAATAGTTCTTTGTGACATGGACACTAAGAGCAAGGTCGTTGCAGCTCCCTACAACTCCAACATTAATGGCTGCAATGCAAACAAAGAACACTCGACTCGAAGTTAGAAACAGAAAACTTTTACGCATACTAATTATGCACAACACTAAAAGGGAGAGTTTACCCTGCAAAGTAAACAACCAAAAACTCTGAAGTAACCTTTCCATAACGATTGATATGAACTGACCTAAGTGAATAAATGCATTACAGATAACATCTATGTATATTTAGCTCGGCCAGGCATTTTGCCCCTATGATTGGCCACTGAGTTGTGTAATCTTGCCTAAGCACTTTTTGCTACTAGTTTTAGGGGCAATCCTAGTGAAACTAGTGCAAGGAAACAGGAAAAAACCAATGCAAGGAAACGTCAACTTGATCCGAACTCAGAAACATGAGAAAGATACGACTTCTTACCGGGGAAACTAAGAGCAAGACCAGCGCAGCACCCTGCAACACCAATATTAATGGCTGCAAACACAGAACACTTGACTCGAAGTTAGAAACGGAAAATTTTTATGCTCAGCGAAGTATTTCTTCCCTATGATTAGCCACAGAGTTGTACAATGCAGCCTAAGTAGTTTTTGCTACTACTTAATGGGGAATAAGAGTCAAACCAGCGCGTGCCAGGAAACAAATGAAGGAAACTGCAATAAAATAAAATAAAATAAAACAAAAACCCTACAGTAACCTTTCCATAAAAATTGATATGAAATGACCTAAGTGAGTGCAATGCATTAGAGATAACATCTACGTATACGTTCAACCCTATTACTATCCACTGAGTTGCAAAATGCAGCCTTAAGTTTTTTTTCTACTAGTTTTGTGGACAACCAGTGTCAGGAAACATAGGAAGAAGCAGAAAAAATGCCTGGCGTAATGTTTCTATACAGATTGATATGAAATGATATAAGTGAGCGCAATGCATCACAGATACAATCTATGTATGTTTCTGAATTCGAGTGAATGTGCACGTCTATTCATACTTGTGTGGCATTCCGAATTCTGAAAGCATGAGAAAGATACGACATCTTACCAGGGAAACTAAGAGCAACACCAGAGCTGCACCTTGCAACTGCAACATTAATGGCTGCAAACAAAGAACACTAGACTCGAAGTTAGAAACAGAAAAATTTTATGCATAACACAAAAAGAGAGAGGTCATCTCGCAAAGTTTTAGAACACAAATAGTTCTTTGTGACATGGACACTCAGAACAAGGTCGTTGCAGCTCCCAGCAACTCCAACATTAATGGCTGCAATGCAAACAAACGACACTTGACTCGAAGTTAGAAACAGAAAACTTTTATGCATACAAATTATGCACAACACAAAAAGGGACAGGTCACCCCCGGAAAGTAAAAACAAAAAACTCTGAATTAATCTTTCCATAATGATTGATATGAACTGACCTAAGTGAACAAATGTCCTACAGATAACATCCATGCATATGTTAGCTCGGCCATGCATTTCGTCCCTATGAATAGCCACTGAGTTGTGTAATACTGCCTAACCACTTTTTGCTACTAGTTTTGTGGGCAATTGTGGTCAAATTAGTGCAAGGAAAAAGCGAAAAACCAGTGCAAGGAAACGTCAACATGTTCCGAATTCTGAAACATGAGAGTGATATGATCTCTTACAAGGGAAAATAAGAGCAAGGCCTGTGGCTGTGCAGTACCCCGCAACACCAATATTACTGGCTGCAAATAAAGAACACTTGACTCGAAGTTAGAAACAGAAATTTTTTATGCAGACTCATTGTGCATAACACAAAAAGGGAGAGGTCAGCTCGCAAAGTTTCAAAGCCTCACCAACATCTTTTCCCCGCAGTCCATTCAAAAGGTTAACAACTAAACTGTGTACTCTGGATAGAGCCACAAACACCGAACAAAAGGAATCATAATGACTCAGTTGCCATCAACAAATAGAATAATATGAACCAACAGGGCAGTTTCAGAATGAGCATATTTAATCAGCCAAAATAGGATATACCTTTGCAGTCTGCCCTGCATCTATAAATGACCCTTTGCACCCTTTCTTCTTGAACAATCCAGAACGTGAAACCAAAACAAGGAAATGTAAGCAGTTTGGTTTGTTGTTCAAAAACAATCACTTGGTTTCAGAAGTTCCACTGAAGGAGCATAAGAACAAACGGCTCTTACCAGTTTGGCAGTCTCAACAAATAGAATTTAGAGGTAGAACCCATCATTGCTACTTCAACACCGACCAACATAATCACTCACAGTGCCAGAAACGACGCCAACTCAAAAATCACAAGAACAATCAAATAAATACACAAGAAAAGTTCAATGCCAGAAATGGATTGGCCCCATTTCTTACTTTTAACACGATCATTCCACGAGGTTAATATAACTACAGATAAAATCTGACTCACACGCACATAAAAATGTAGAAAAGGAAATAACAGCACCGTAGCCAAAGATGGAGCCATTACGGTTCTGTCGGCACCATTCCGGTGAAGCGGACGAGGCAGACGAAGGGACAACGGATAGCCAATGCCTTGGAAGAATCATTAATGTTAGGATTAGGGCTCGTATCAGGTTCGATATTCACGTCAACATGATCCGAATTCAGAAGCACAAGAAAGATATGATTCGTAACCGGGAAACTAAGAGCAAGACCGGTGCAGCATCCTGCAACACCAACATTAATAGCTGCAAAACAAAGTTCACTTGACTCAAATTGAAACATAAAACTTTGTACAGACACATTATGCATAAAACGAAAAGGGAGATGTCAGCTCGCAAAGTTTCAGAGCCTCACCATCATCTTTTCCCGGCAGTTGCGTCAAAAGGCAAACAACTAAACTGCGTCTGGATAGAACAGCAAACATCTAACAAAAGGAATCATAATGATTCGGTAGCCATTAACAAAAGAAATAATATGCAACGATGGGGCCATTTTCAGAATGATCGATATCACCCAATATACATACTATGGATATACCTTTGCATACTACCCTGCAACTACAAATAACCCTTTGAAGCCTTTCTTCTTGTATAATCTGAACCTGAACCCAAAACAAGGATATGTAGTTTAGCAGTTTGGTTATCTCAACCAGCAAAAGAGGCAAAACCCTTATCACTGGGTTTCAACATTGGACAAAAACAATCACAAAGGGAACAAAACAACTGATACTAAAAAAACTGGTTATTACATCAATCAGGATAGAAAACAGGTTACTTGGTTTCAACAGTTCCCCAGAAGAAGCATGAGAATAAACGTGACGGTTCTTACCGTTTGGCAATCTCAACCAACAGAATTTAGACTCTTAGTGGCAGAAGGTACTTCAACACCGGCCAACATAATCAGACAAAAAATTAAACAATCTTTCTAAAATTGAAAAAACAGAACAAAAAAATTACCAAATCGAACCTGAACCAAAATCCCTAATGACAATTCCTACACGAGACGAGAGAGGAAAAACGACAGTATCAAATCCCATTTTCTGCACCGGTGAAAGTTGTCGGAATTTAAGTCAATTGCATCACTGTTTCTTCCTATTCGAGTCTTGAACAAGCAACTTCTCAAGTTCAAGAAACTATTCCATGGACTCTTAAATCGGAAGTTATCGAACTGAAACAAAAATTTCCAGAAAATTCTACGTTTACCTGGATATGGCCGCCCGGATTACCTAGAATTTCAAACTGACCGTGAAATTTGAGGATCAGATTCACGTAGGAGGGGGATTTCGGTGGCGATTGCTTCTCGAACTGCAGAGCATTGTGATGATCAGACTGCATATTTGAATCTATCGTTGAATGTTTTAGCACCGTGACTCAGGGTTTGACTTTTGGCTTCGGAGAGATTGGGAAGAAAATTACGGATCGACGAGTTCGAGATGCTTCCGCGGAATCCATTCTTGCAGAACTTGGCTGGCGATTTCACGGATAGCGAGAGAGAGATGAACGTTGTGGAGAGGGGGGAATTGCAAAAATGACTTTAAATGTCATTTTTACTTCACGGCATGACCCTGTCTTTTTTAAAAAAAAAACATCATCATCTTCTAACCTTATAATTGTATCTTTCCAAAAATACCCTTACCTTTTTAATCATTATTAAATTTAAAATGAAAATATTTCAGCTCTCTCTCTCAAAGCCTTGACGAGTGCTCTACTAGTGGGTGGTATGAAGCTTAAATTCAATCCAATCGTGTTCAAGCTAAGAGATAACCTTTTCTCTATCTTGTTTCACTTAAGATAATCTGGCACGCACAGCTA